TATCATAGTCCGATGATATCACAACTTCTATGTTTATCATAGTCCGATAATATATCACAACTCTATGCTTTTATCATAGTCCGATAAGATACCACAACTTCTATGTTTTATCATAGTCCGATAAGATACCACAACTTCTATGTTTTATCATAGTCCGATAAGATATCACAACTTCTATGTTTTATCATAGTCCGATAATATATCACAACTTCTATGTTTTATCATAGTCCGATAAGATATCACAACTTCTATGTTTTATCATAGTCCGATAATATACCACAACTTCTATGTTTTATCATAGTCTGATAATATATCACAACTTCTATGATTTTTCTGTGGAACATTCACTAAACTATTATTATATTCAAACGTTTTTCAAATGACTCTAGATGAGTCAACATGTCAGAGCGGGGAATTCACGGGATTTATGATAGCACGAGAATACAAAGTCTGATTTGCACTAGTGTGTTTCCGCAGAACGATAAATCCAAACACTAGAAAATTAAATCATATATTTTTTACAGTTTGATTATTGATAGTACACAATTTTTGCGCGTATACATGCGTTAATTTTGTTTATGTTGAAAACTACACGAAATATACGACTTATGCCTTCATTTGTACACGTTATACATTCGTTTACATTTTACTATTTTAGAAGATTCGTGTCTTGACATAAGTCGTAATGGTAAATAATAATTATGTTCGTCTTCTATTTTCAACAAAACTACAAAAGTTAAATGTTTGTAAGATTCAGATAGACTGTATATATGTGACTTGTTTATTATAGTAAAATAATCATTGCAGCCCTTTGCCAGTATGATTGTGTATGCAATTCGTAATAACAAATAAAATGTTTGAATAAGTACAAATTAATATTTTTTCATCATCGTTGACTATTTGTTAAGCGTACTTTAGGATATACGCTCGTAATAATTTAATTACAATTTAGTCCAGAAAAGGATTCTTTTTCCATATTAACATAAGATATTCAAAATCTAGATATATATTCTAGGCATAATACTTCTATTCATACACTAACTTAACTTACAAACTATGTAGTCCTGAAAAGGATTGTTTAGTGTCGCTTCATAAGCAAAATGTTCAAACTCTATATAAGTATTATATCTATTACATTAAGTAACTGTAAGTCAGTATAGTTTGATTTTATGGTTTACATATATATAACTAAACCTACATTAGATTATCTTACAAATACATAGTCCTGAAAAGGACTGTTTTTCATGTTAACCTATAGAATTCGAACTCTATATATTTTTTCTTACCCAAACACAAAAGTATGCACTACGTCTGCATTCATTTTAATATGACCTATATAGTCCCGTTTTCATTAAATGTGATCTATTAAACTGATATTATGCTTTGTCAAACGATTTTCTTTATGAATGACTGACTGTATAACAAATCCAATCATCTATGTAAACTTAAAAAACAACAACACATTTTCTATTACAGGAACCAAGCGAAAAATAAACAGCAACACTTATCATTTTATGTTTTGTCATAGAATCCGATAGGATGTCATAACTTCATTGATTTTATGTAGAACAATCACTTTGAAATATAATTTACTAGATCTCTGAGACAATTGTTAAGTATAACTTACTAGATCTCTGAGACAATTGTTAAGTATAACTTACTAGATCTCTGAGACAATTGTTAAGTATATC